ACTTTCAAAACATTGTAAAATAATATTCTTGTTTCATCAGTCATTTAATAACTGTATTTAAAATCATCTTTATAATTCAAAATGCAGTCTTTCTTTAAAAAAACAAAAAAAAAACAAAAACAAAAAAAAAACAAAATATTGATGATAAACAACTACTTTTGTTTTATGTTTTTGTTTTAATTAAGTATACATACACGTATTGAAATAACACAGAGTGAGTGATGAATGATTTCACAAGTCTGGACAGCCAAAATAATTATACAGTATTTTATTAAAATTGCCTTGGTATTAGGCAGTACAATTATGGAAAGCCAAATGTATCAAAATACCTCCTACTGTATGCGGTGATAATTCATGCTTGAATGAATTTGAATGAACGTGTTAGAGAACGTCTTGTAAAAACCTTTGAAATGTTACCGTATGTTTTTAGCAGAAAGTTCTTTAGGCAACTAAAAACGTAATGAATTTTCGTTTAAAAAAAAATCCATTTAAATTTCCAGCCAAAAATATATTAAAACAAGAAACACCTTACTGTTTGAACAGTCAGTTATGTACCAGTAAGTTCTTTAAATAAGATGTTAATTGTATGCAAATCATTACATTGCAATACAAAAGTAATAATGAATGAGTACTTCATATAAAAGAAAAGTAACAAAGGATTTTGGATTTTTTTGTTTTTTCTTGCACTTCATGACCCCAGATATACAATGAGTAGGAAATACATGTGGTTTTAAATAATTAAAACAAAATAAACCATAGCTACATATTGAACAAATACATTTATCAGTCTAAATAATGTTCCTTTCTGTTTGGCAGGTAATGGCGTGTATCAGGAAGACTTTGAAAAAGTAACTACTAAAAATTAAAAAAAATAAAAATTGTTAAAATAAAGGAAAACATATTTTGCTTGCTATAGTGGAGCAAAAGTATAAACATGGCAATTAATTTCCATTTTTATGCACAAAACAAGAATAAATTATATAACAATAATGATAGAGCTGATCTTAGTGATAATATTGTTAATGATTACGGTAATGATGTCAATGACTGTCATGAAGATAATGATAATCATGAGGCAGATAGTGGTGCTACTAATGATGTTAATAATGATTTTGGGACTTCTGGCTCACAGTCGTAGAAGCATTGGCTTCTTCAAATTAGGTCTTTAGACCTTTTTTAAGGTAAAATAAATAAATGAAATGAAGACGTCTATGATTCATAGAGGAACAAGGGTGGAAAAACCTTATACAGAATGTTTTAACAACTTCCATTTCGACACATTTCCATTAATTACAGAAATCAAATTGAATACATGGAATGTACAATTGATTTGAACACTACAAAAAAGAAACAATGGTTACGTTGATTGAGGATAAAAGAGGAATATATATTCAGGGAAAAAGGAAAAAGACAGACCTTCTAAGGCAAAGAGAGTAAAGATGCTATATTGAGATAATGATTAGCATTTAAGTAGGTGGAAACAGATGAATGTGGCAGATCCCTAGCTTTTACAAAAGAAAAAAAACCAATTATAACTACATATTTTTAATAATAAAAATATAATTAAGTCATACATATTATAGATATTTCTGAATTCAACCCATTTTTAGAATATTTTAAGGTGCTTTTAGCCATTGACAATGTTTTTCAATGCATAGTTGGAAAATAAAAAAAAAAAATATTTGGCATTGCACAAACATATATAAGAAACTGGTTGAACAAAGACAAACAAAAATCCTTATTAAGATGTACTTAATTTTCTACATAAATGTGAACATATAAGAACCTTATTATCAATGAGTTGGACATGGAAACCTATACTCTGTATACAGTACATATAATAATAGCATTTGAATTTAATTTCCTTGTTATTCCTGCACAATACCAATGCTGATTTTAAAAATTACACATTTAGGATAGAAGGATCGTGATGATATAAACCTGAGATTTATAAACATTAGACACATTTGACTCTAATGGCTGTCCACACTATTTATGATGCCAGTGCTGCATGATAATATTTCAATATTGAGTTACCGATCTGGAATTGGCTGATATGCTGCATGAAACATCATTTGCACAAGGAACGGATCTATGATTTTGAGAACAAGGTTACAAGGTGAAGGTGGGGTGGGAAGGGGAGTGGGAATGCATGGATGCAAGAAGAGGGTGTATTTAAAATTATTCTTATTATTGAAATTAGCATTTTTATCAGCCACTTCCTTCTTCTAGATAACTACTTCTCTACCCTGAGAATGTTAGAATGAACTGAATTACACAAATGTCATGTGACAATCCAGCATGGACACATGGCACCGCATAAACGTCATGTGACAATCCAGCACAGTCACATGGTACTGCATGAACTGTCTCTTATACACATCTATGTACAATTGATTTGAACACTACAAAAAAGAAACAATGGTTACGTTGATTGAGGATAAAAGAGGAATATATATTCAGGGAAAAAGGAAAAAGACAGACCTTCTAAGGCAAAGAGAGTAAAGATGCTATATTGAGATAATGATTAGCATTTAAGTAGGTGGAAACAGATGAATGTGGCAGATCCCTAGCTTTTACAAAAGAAAAAAAAAACAATTATAACTACATATTTTTAATAATAAAAATATAATTAAGTCATACATATTATAGATATTTCTGAATTCAACCCATTTTTAGAATATTTTAAGGTGCTTTTAGCCATTGACAATGTTTTTCAATGCATAGTTGGAAAATTTAAAAAAAAAATATTTGGCATTGCACAAACATATATAAGAAACTGGTTGAACAAAGACAAACAAAAATCCTTATTAAGATGTACTTAATTTTCTACATAAATGTGAACATATAAGAACCTTATTATCAATGAGTTGGACATGGAAACCTATACTCTGTATACAGTACATATAATAATAGCATTTGAATTTAATTTCCTTGTTATTCCTGCACAATACCAATGCTGATTTTAAAAATTACACATTTAGGATAGAAGGATCGTGATGATATAAACCTGAGATTTATAAACATTAGACACATTTGACTCTAATGGCTGTCCACACTATTTATGATGCCAGTGCTGCATGATAATATTTCAATATTGAGTTACCGATCTGGAATTGGCTGATATGCTGCATGAAACATCATTTGCACAAGGAACGGATCTATGATTTTGAGAACAAGGTTACAAGGTGAAGGTGGGGTGGGAAGGGGAGTGGGAATGCATGGATGCAAGAAGAGGGTGTATTTAAAATTATTCTTATTATTGAAATTAGCATTTTTATCAGCCACTTCCTTCTTCTAGATAACTACTTCTCTACCCTGAGAATGTTAGAATGAACTGAATTACACAAATGTCATGTGACAATCCAGCATGGACACATGGCACCGCATAAACGTCATGTGACAATCCAGCACAGTCACATGGTACTGCATGAACTGTCTCTTATACACATCTATGTACAATTGATTTGAACACTACAAAAAAGAAACAATGGTTACGTTGATTGAGGATAAAAGAGGAATATATATTCAGGGAAAAAGGAAAAAGACAGACCTTCTAAGGCAAAGAGAGTAAAGATGCTATATTGAGATAATGATTAGCATTTAAGTAGGTGGAAACAGATGAATGTGGCAGATCCCTAGCTTTTACAAAAGAAAAAAAAAACAATTATAACTACATATTTTTAATAATAAAAATATAATTAAGTCATACATATTATAGATATTTCTGAATTCAACCCATTTTTAGAATATTTTAAGGTGCTTTTAGCCATTGACAATGTTTTTCAATGCATAGTTGGAAAATTTAAAAAAAAAATATTTGGCATTGCACAAACATATATAAGAAACTGGTTGAACAAAGACAAACAAAAATCCTTATTAAGATGTACTTAATTTTCTACATAAATGTGAACATATAAGAACCTTATTATCAATGAGTTGGACATGGAAACCTATACTCTGTATACAGTACATATAATAATAGCATTTGAATTTAATTTCCTTGTTATTCCTGCACAATACCAATGCTGATTTTAAAAATTACACATTTAGGATAGAAGGATCGTGATGATATAAACCTGAGATTTATAAACATTAGACACATTTGACTCTAATGGCTGTCCACACTATTTATGATGCCAGTGCTGCATGATAATATTTCAATATTGAGTTACCGATCTGGAATTGGCTGATATGCTGCATGAAACATCATTTGCACAAGGAACGGATCTATGATTTTGAGAACAAGGTTACAAGGTGAAGGTGGGGTGGGAAGGGGAGTGGGAATGCATGGATGCAAGAAGAGGGTGTATTTAAAATTATTCTTATTATTGAAATTAGCATTTTTATCAGCCACTTCCTTCTTCTAGATAACTACTTCTCTACCCTGAGAATGTTAGAATGAACTGAATTACACAAATGTCATGTGACAATCCAGCATGGACACATGGCACCGCATAAACGTCATGTGACAATCCAGCACAGTCACATGGTACTGCATGAACTGTCTCTTATACACATCTATGTACAATTGATTTGAACACTACAAAAAAGAAACAATGGTTACGTTGATTGAGGATAAAAGAGGAATATATATTCAGGGAAAAAGGAAAAAGACAGACCTTCTAAGGCAAAGAGAGTAAAGATGCTATATTGAGATAATGATTAGCATTTAAGTAGGTGGAAACAGATGAATGTGGCAGATCCCTAGCTTTTACAAAAGAAAAAAAAAACAATTATAACTACATATTTTTAATAATAAAAATATAATTAAGTCATACATATTATAGATATTTCTGAATTCAACCCATTTTTAGAATATTTTAAGGTGCTTTTAGCCATTGACAATGTTTTTCAATGCATAGTTGGAAAATTTAAAAAAAAAATATTTGGCATTGCACAAACATATATAAGAAACTGGTTGAACAAAGACAAACAAAAATCCTTATTAAATTTTCATTAATTTCTGAGTCAGATGTAACCCCATTTTGTTCTGCACTGTCTCTCTCAGATGAACTTTTTTGTGATGTTCCCCTGTGAGCTGGGGACCCCGCTGTATGTCCACTTTCTGTTTTTGATTATTTATTTGCATGGTCTTCATTCATATTGATTGCGCTAACATTAACCCCTTTCTCAGGTACGACCCCCTTCTCAGGTACAACCCCTTTCTCGGGTACTGTCTTTTTTGGCGTCACTGGTAGTAACGGTGTTTGGGGTATTTCTCTGGGAGCAAGGAAGTTTGATGGATCAAATTCTTCTTTTGGAAATTTGACAATTTTTTGTGATTTGACCCATCTCCCATTTACAAATTGAAATCTTTTCATATGAACAATCTGAAAAGACACCACAAAAACTTGTAGATAAATATGGCAGAACATATTGTATACTTACATCTTAAATTATTATATTATTTTTTTTAAAAGCATACATTAACATCATAAATATATCTTAAAGTCAAAACCAAGTAATTTTAAGCATGATTTCCTAAAATAGTTAAACAATATGTATACATTATTCTGTTTGCTTTTTGCATAGCATGTTTGCATGGCTGCATACCATGCAAAAACAATTTAGTTACTCCACAAATAGATCTTACCAAAATTGGTGGCAGCCTCCATATTTCTAATTTCTTTGCAGCTAATCTGTGTTCCTTGCACATTGAACAGTAATACAGCTCATCTTCTCCTAGCTCCTCTTCTTTTGTAAATGCTCGTAAACATTCATCTAAATCAATTGGTTCTGTTTGTAACTTGTGACTTTTCTCAACACTCTCGTGATCCTTGACAACCTAAATTTGAATTTAGAAAGATAATTACAAAATCACATGAAATCAATATTGTCTCTAGATTCCAGTCTTCAAGCTGGAACACAAGGTGAGCAGCATTGGATTGAATCAGGTTCAAATGTCTGTACTGATCTCCTTGTAACACATTGATCTATACTTGTTTAGTTAGTTTATATTATCTTGATTTTTTTGGCTATTGCAACTGTATATGGATGAATGTAAATGTAATTGTTTCTTGTGTAGAATGAATAATAGCCCACTGGTAGCTCTTGGAGCAAATAATACTGAATTGAAAGGTTGTGTACCAGGTTAAGGATTTCAACTTATTTGGAAACACTGACCACAGAGATTTGGAAAACTTGTAAAAATATATACATAACATGACAGTGGCCGGCTTCATTTTTTATTAATTCAAATGGATTCTTCAGCCCAAGATCAGCTGACTTAAGTTATTACATACATCATTTACATAACGCTGTCTAATGAAGATCAGAGTGCTTTTTGCTTCTTTTTTTTGTACTTTTTACTAATATACTTTGATAATGAAATATATCTAACAGAAGAAAACCAGAAAAAGAGAGAAAAAAAATAAAACAACGCAGATGAAACCAAACACCACCGCACCATTCCCCAGCAATTTAAGGCGCAAGGCCCGCCAGAACAGTATACACAGGTGCTCGAATGATGTTGGCATCTAGTAATAGTCAATTCCTAATCAGAAGGAAACAATAGAGTTTTCAACATCTTCTTAAATACTGTATATTTAATAATAATTCATTTTTTCATTGTATTTCTAATAAATAATAAATGAAATACGAAAAACTAATTATAACCCTTACCCTTTCCTGAGATGATTGGTACCTAAGATGCAGCGCTGTGGGTTCCCAGTCCACAGCAATGTATGTAGTACCATGATTAAACTTCAAAGAGTCACACACTATTTCACATCCTCTACAGAACCTTTGAAAACAAGTTTGGAAAATCATCAACATGGATGGAAGCAGACACAGTATATGCCATGGGAAATGTGTGTTGAGAATTGGAAACATGCTTCTTCACATGCTGGTGTGTAGGGAATTGGACACAAACTGTGTCATGAGTATAATGGACACATGACTGTGTGCAGGGAATTGGTCACAACCTGTGTGTAGAGGATAACTAGACACATGCTGATGTGTAGAGCATATTGGACACATGAGTATGTGGAGAGACTTGGGACACATGACGACTGCATGCAGATAATTGAAAATATGATACAGTATTGTGTTGGAAAAATACTGCACGTATAAAGACTGCACGTATAAAACTCCAAACATGATCAACAACAAAAAAACGCATATCAAATATCTTCCATGTGAAGACTGTCAGTGTATGAAAACAATTTTATACGTGCATGATGACAAACTGTGCATGTAAAGGTAAGTTAAATTTGAATGACAGGTTATCAAGACAATATATGCATTTGCAGTAATCAATAGCCCACAAAGCAAATAGATAAGACTGCATATTTTTGTCAAACAAAATTTGATAATGTAACATCTAGGCTTACTTGAGCATGGCACCAAATTTTGACAGATTTTGGATAAGACTTTGTCTGACAGTGTGTCCAGACTATCAAATAAAAAACTGCCCATGTATAGTCATGATGTGCCTATATATGGTCATGATGTGAAGTTATAATGACCATATTTAGACATATCACATGTTTTTGTCAAATAAAATTTGAGTCTGGAGAGGACTTTATAGTATATGCTTGTTTCAAAATTATCTGACCAAACAAGTTATGTCTGTGGAATCTGACAGACAAAAATCTGACTGTCTACTGTATGCCTGGCTTTGTTTACACCTCAAAGGATACATTAGTTACGAAACTGAATTATGAATTATACTAAAGGAATTTGTACATTAACTTTTACTATAGTGTCAAACGTATTGATAAACACATTTCATTGAAACAATAATACTTTACAAAACCTGAAATTAGAAACCACATGTACACCAGCTTACCCACAACCAGCAGCAAATCTGAGACCACTAATACTTACTAGTACTCCCAGAATATTTTTATACACTTACTGTTAGTGTGAAATATATGATTTTATAAGGATTACTTACGTCTGAGCGTAATTGTGCACGTCACAAAAAGCATCTACAATTACTATACTCACACTGTATTAAGACTACACTTCAACTGTGTGCATATTGTATCACATTTACACTTATATTGTAGAGTATGAGAGGGATACTACAATTGTGAGTTTATGTGGGTGTCTGTGTCTGTGTGGTGTGTGTTGTGCGTGGGGATCTGAATCTGTAAATTAGTAATCCATAATTAATTATTTCCTGATAATTCTACTAGAAAGTTTTAAGTCTTGATACAAGTTTAATGGAATTTAAACCTGAAGACACAAAATAATTTTATCACATTATAGTAATATTATCATAAATTATTATCACAAAAACATTATTATTTAAGAAAATAATTTATGCAATTGTTTAATATTGAAATGCTATTGTTTCATATTAAAATCTACAGCAGTAATATTTGGTATTGTATATTTAATCACTAAAATAAAAATATTAAAAACATTATTTTTTTAACTTTTATTTACTTTACTTTTTTCTGGTTGTGGAACAGTACATCAGTAAACTTTACTTAAATTCAGAAAAAAATGGCAATATGAAAAATTATTTCATTTCTTTTACTTCTCAAATAATAACTGTACAAAAAAATTAATACACACTTAAAACATGGATGGCACTTAAATGTACAAACCTATTTTATGCTTTCTGCTTCTGCTTTTGTAGTTGTTTTTATTTGTAATTTTTATCCGTATAGTTATACATTTTAAAATAAAATATTTCATTGAATGATTACGCGGATAGAAAAAAAACAAAGTTCTGAGTTGAAAATCAGGTGATGAGATTCTTATGCAGGTGTGTAAAATTGTGCTGAAATTTGATCATCAAGTTGTCTAATAAGCAGTTAAATGTTTCAACTTAAGCATGATTTAAATCTTAGGTCGGGAATATAGACATTGTATCCGTACAAATACCATATGTCTCAATGGTGGATTCAAGGGAGGGGCCCAGCCGCCCCCTAAACCGTTCAAAATGTTTTTTTAATGGCGATATAAAGAAAATTATATTCAAATTTTAAGTCTGAAAAATCAATTTCCAGTAGATCTAGAGGTGACCATAATCACAAATTTTCTTACCTCAGCCCCAACCATGGTGGGGCTGACGTGGTGTACATCCTTCATCTGTGAAAGTACTTCCCTGGGCCCCTCTTTTTGGAATTCCTTTAGATTAACTTTTCTTTTTTTTAACACAATAACCTTTTACTTTTTATGTTAATGTTGTTACTTACTTTCATTTTGAAAGTACCAAATTGTTTTGAGTGACAAAGATTTAGGTGTACAGTAGCTTTGAATATATTTACCACATACTGTACAATGTTAAATGAATTACATAACAACAAAAACAAATATTTTAAAAATAAATGACACATTGTCCTATGATTACTGCAATGTGTATAGCAACACATAAACGGAAAAAACAACATTGAACAACATGTGGAAGTTTCAGGAGGGGTGACACAGGAGTGGGTGGAACAGCCGAACGATTGATTGAAACAATACAAACAAGACATTGAAAATAATCCATCAAGAATAATCATAGTGAACAAATATAAAATAACATACCGGAGAACAGTTCATGAAAATACTGCATTTTTCGGGATGCTAGCCACTGGAGGACTTCATTTTCTTCCCACGATTCTACTGGGATCAGCCTAAATCTGTCCCCTTTAGCCTTTGCATCTGCACCATTACGGTTCATGTATCCATTAATGTTATTTTTAGTTCTCTCATTTCCAATTTCAACCTGTTTGCTTTCATTGTCCTGACTTGGTGGTTGTTTAAAACTGCTGAAAGTAATCTCCGAAGAATTTTTTCTACTTTCGTCAATAGAGTTTTGTTGAACGTTCACATTTTGAATCTTTTTTGATAACACTCCCGGCCTTTGGTTATTAACTGTTGATGTATTGGTTGGGGGAGAGGGCGCAGTTCTTTTCTTGGGTTTTCCAACTGAATCGTTACTTGTAGTTGATGTAACACTACTCTGGCGGCTACTGAGCTTCGGAGCTCTTTCATCATTTGCTGTGCCTCCATCTGTTAGCTTAGTCGCTGTTGATCGGGGAGGAGGCGTTGGTGCCTTTTTCTTCCTACGCCCAAACATGATTATTTTTTATTTCTTGAGGATAAACATTCTTTTATAAATCTAAAGATGAAAATACAGAAATATGAGATTATATTAATCCATTAATTTTTTTCAAACTTATTTTACTAAATTTTAAATTATACAGTTTTGTAAATGAATACACCTTCTTTTATTACGATTTATAGAGTAATTAAATTTTATCTTTTTAGATGTCCAAAAGATATTTTTGGCTTTGAACTAAAATATTATTCATAGATTCCTCAAAGTCATATACTGTACAGTATATATTTAAAATCAAATTTCCTTTGTACAAAATATGTTGAATCATATTATGACATTGAGAAACAATAAAAAAAAAAGAAAATCTCAGTTTTATAAAAGTATTTACAGTAGGTATAACAGGTAATATTTCAATTGATAGAAATTAATTAATTAGTTAATTATAATACTTAACCTAAAATTAATTAAAAATGCTTCATATTCAATTAAAACATTAAACTGTTAATTAAAAAGGATTAAATCATTCCTAATCTTCCAATGAGATGGATGCACATCAAATTAATTCTGATTTTTGCTAATTTACACACTTTTATTACTAAAAAAAAAAAAATCTGCAACAAGTCAGGTATAAGCCTACCCCTTCTTTACTTTTAATTCATGTATTGTACCAGTGTGAACTTTTCCCAGACAAAAGATACGAAACAAAAAAAATTAAACATTGGTTTTGAATTGGGGATAGAGTACTGTATTAGAATACATTTTCAGCAACCATTACAAGAAAGATGAAAATTTGCCCAATTTTTTTGTTTAAAATGGTTGGGAACTACGTTTTAAATGTTGTATTGAAATTAATGCCCACACTGAATAAACTTCCCCTTTGATTAAATTCCCCCTCAAATAAAACTCTCCTCTAGAGCCTCATTGGAATAAACACCTCCCTTGGGCTTTGATTTAAAAAAAAAAATGCCCCCCTCCCCTTCCAAATGGCATGAACAAATCAATCATTTTTTACATCAAAAAAATATATTTTTTCTAATATATCCATTTAAGGGTAAAAAATTAAAGAAAATGAATCAAACACAATGAAAAATTAATGAAAAATTTTTTGTTTAAATAAAAATAAAGTAATTTTAAGTGACTGACATAATATCTCACAGGGTGACTTTTGGTCACAAAGACCTGCAAATCTTGTGGTTAGGGCACATAGAAAAAATATTGGATTATCACTCCTTTTTTTTTTTTTTTAAATTGAGGTGGCAGATACATTTAAAAAACTGCCCTAGGTCTACGAATATGATTAAATGGCCTATCCAAAATTATATTCCGGTGAAAAAAATTCGGACATTACTCGAGCATCAATGGGAAGGGAACACCCTAATAATTCAGTAGGCATAGGCGTCAAGGCCTTGGTCTTTGCTTGAGCTAGGCAAGCCTTTGCCTAAACTTTCTTGATGTTGTAGTTTACTTTTTGCCCAACAACCACCAATCCGACCAATCACACCCATTGCAAGGAAGACCGCCCACTTGTAATGCATGATGTAACAAGATATTTTTAGCAGTGAGAGTCTCTGTGGAACATGTGAGGTGTGAATCAATGACCCGATCAATCCACGGGTCTGCAGTTAGCGAGCTGTTTATTTTGAACGACAATAAACAACAAGTTTAAAGAATGGGCTTTGCTTTAAACTTTACGGCGACCAATGTCTGACCTAAAATCAATTGAAAGAGTTTGAAGTTTACCGAATTCGGACCCAATTCCTTTATATTTTGTGAGTAGTTGTTTTAAAAAAAAATTTTTATACGGTGTGCCATACGCAGCAAAAGTCTGTTAAAATCAAAATGTAATTGCAGCATTCAATGTCTAATTTATCAAAACATAGGTCTAAT